GCTTATTTTGGGGGTAGGGGTTATATTACGAGCATCTTGAAAAATCATACAAGGGCTTATTTTCATGTTAGGTCTTATTTTCGGGAAAACAAGGTGGAAAATCTGAAAAGGAAAATTGATTCTGGTTTGAGATGCTGAAGTTTGGTATACATCATGGCTGAACACTTAGATCTCTCAAATATTTTGGAGCAGAATCCATCTCTGCTAATACATATTTTTCTTAGATTGAGAAGATTTAGTTTCTTGAGTATCAGCTTTTTGTGTGCAGTAATTAGTGCTAATTTTGATGTCAGTCCTTTGGAGTTTTAATAATTATGAATTGTGTTTTAAGCTGGTATTTTGCTTTTGTGGGAAAATGCTTTGGGTGTTTTAGAGGTTTTGTTTTTATGCTTTTCATTTTCTAAGAAGGAAAGAGGTTTAATGTAAATAGGAAATAGGAGAATGTTCAGTAACGAAGCACATTTAAGAATGTCAGTGATCAGCAGTCTAATGCCAGTTATGTTTTCTTTATATTGCAGTATTTATAATTTGTCAGTCTTGCTGTTGTTAAACGTAATGAATTATGATCTGATGGAAATCGTTTTTTTATCCACGCAACACAAGGTTGCACAATATTGTGAATGAACTAGCATGGTGGTGTGTGCTGGTTGGATGCTAAAGAAACTGATTAACTTTGCTTACTGGTTAGTTTGTTACCGTATTTTTCGGTAGCATAAGACACAGCTAATTTTTAGAGGAGGAAAACAGGAAAAAATATTCTGAACTAAATAGTGCAATAAAGTTGTATGGTATCTCTATAGGCAGAGTGTTCCCACCTGAGGAGGTCTATTACTTTATATAATACATTTTGAATTATGTTCACCATTAGGGGAGTAAAGTAGACACCCCAAGGTGCGATACATCAGTGTAAAGTATCAAAAAAATCAGTTTTTTAGATACCATTAGAGTGGGTTGCTTTGAATAGTATGACAAATCTCAAAAGAACTAAAAGCCCTTCACTCAGTGAGCAACTGAAACAAATCCTACTTTTCACCAACAATGCCTCATGTGCCCCTTAATGTCACCAGTCAGCAGGCCAGCCAGGAATTCCTCTGTATTATGTTATTTACGGTCATTTACGTGATCTGGCTGTCCAGTAAGCAGCGCTGGTAATACAGGCCTGATATGGATGCCCTGTAGTATCAGTGCTATTAATGAGTACAGTACTGGGGGGAGGTGTCTGTTAATCCACCACCATTTTGCCTAATCTCAGCAAGCTTGAGGCAGTTTCCTTCCAGATCAGCGTTGTAAATAAGGTGTAATTATCAGACTGACCACTGGAGGGAACCAAATGCAATGTATTTTCTTCATAAGACACACAGACTTTTCACCTCACTTTTTTAAAAGGGAAAAGTACATCTTATGGAGCAAAAAATACGGTATATTGTTTGGCATTGGGCAGGTTCCCTGGCCTGGTTTATTCCAGAGAAAGAATTCAAAGTTTGTGAGTTAAGAGGGAACAAAGGGGAGAAGTGATGATGACAGCTTTTAGGAAACACAGTAATCAGACTGCTAAACAAATATTTGTGGATGCATGGCTTACTTATCAGGCAAGCCATTGAACAAAATCCTGTTAGTATAAAGTTATGTCACATAAATTGGATATAGCACTGGAAGTAATAAATTTAGACAAAGTGAAAGCTACCAATTCCTTCCCTTTCAGGTTCAGAGGTTCTCTAGGACTTGTTTTTGCTGTGGGGGAGCTTTGGGATGGAATGGAGGTGTCTTCAATAGTTTAAAAAATGCCACTAGATTGTTGCAAGTGGTCCAAGTTCTGATCATGGCAGCAGCAATCCTGCAGGGAATTTTGACCAGCGTAGATTTGATTTAAATTATGATTTAAAAAAAGCAGACTTTTTTATTGGTTTAATTTTTAAAAACCTTTTAAAATTTAAATTGTGATTTAAATTAACTTGATTTTTTTTTAAAAAAATAGATTTTTATCCACCCTGTTTTTGAATATTAAACCTCCTGACCCCCCGATCTGAAAACTTCCAAAGCCTTCCCCAGGCAATATGGAGTCTCAGAACCTTAAAAAGGGAATGGGAAGGTTTCAATTAGTTTAAATTATTTCTGGTGCTGAATCTTGTTTACACTGGCATAACTTTATGCAACAGAACTTTGCCCAGTGTGTTCATTCTCTTTTTCATACTTTTGCTTCATGTAAACAGATTAATATTAATATTAAAATTAAATTACAGTTGATAATGCTGCTGCTTGTTAGTTCCTCATTTGCACTGATAGTATTTAAGTATTTGTGATTCTTAGTACTGTTATTCTTACCAGTTTTTAACTGCTGTGGAGACTTGACTTAATTCAAAGTCATAGTAGATAATAAAAATATTTTTTTAAAAATTCAGGGATCTGATGATTGCTTGGTAAAGATTTGGTCTACACACAATGGTCGGTTACTTGCTACATTGAGAGGCCATTCAGCAGAGATTTCAGATATGGCTGTGAATTATGAAAACACAATGATTGCTGCTGGCAGCTGTGATAAAATTATCAGGGTTTGGTGTCTCAGAACATGTGCTCCTCTTGCTGTTCTACAAGGACACACAGGTTCTATTACATCTTTGCAAGTAAGTTCACAATTACTTGAGTGTCAGTGTTAGAATGTGTGTCAGATATGGTTGCTATTTTGTTGCAAAATGATTTTTTAAACATTGGTATTTTTTTCTTTGTGATGCATGAAGGATTATGCTGGGTCATAACTTCTTAGTGTATAATTTGTTGTTGTTTAATCATTAAGTTGTGTGTGATCCCATGGACCAGAGCACACCAAGCCCTCCTGTCTTCCACTGCCTCCCAGAGTTTGTTCAAATTCATGTTGGTAGCTTTCATGATGCTGTCCAAGTGTATAATTACTAATGAATAAAATACTAATTGTGTGTGTGTGTGTGTGTGTGTGTGTGTGTGTGTAAAGTGAAAATACATTTAATTCTGTGTTTCTAGCATGTTTAAGTGGAGACTCACTTCAGGCAATCATTTAAAGCTAGTTAGAAGTTATTTCTTTTTAAATGTTTTAATGAAGTATGCAAAATTAACCTGGTTAAAAGCTTTACAGATGTTTAAACAATAGGTAGAATTCAGGTACCTCTTAGTGACTCTTTTTTAAAATACATATTAGCAACTGTTTCATTTTAACTTGCAGTTCAGCCCATTGGTCAAAGACTCTACACGGTATATGGTTTCAACAGGCGTAGATGGAACAGTTTGTTTCTGGCAATGGGATATCACTTCTATGAAGTTCAAGTATGTAGTCCTCTTTCTCCATGTTCCTTTATCTTCATGACAATGTGTTCACAGTTTTTTTACAACACAGAACACAAAATAGAAGCTTTAAAATAGTTTGTGTATTGAGAATTTTATTGTTGCAAAATATAGTGAAAGAAAAATATCAGTGCAGTTTGTTTGTTTTGTTAAATGCATGAATACATGAAAAGTAGGAATTTTATTTTTTATAAAATGTTAAAGAGCTTTATGGGATTTATTGTGATGGTGATGTATTGCTACTTTATCTCTATAGTAACCGACCACTGAAATTCACGGAAAAACCTAGACCTGGAGTTCAAATGCTTTGCTCATCGTTTAGTGTTGGTAAGTGTATGCAGCACTGAAGTGGCATGTTCTTTCTTAGTTGTGGAACTCAGAGAATTTCTGTTTTGCTTTTGACAAAGCATATTTGCATGCTCCCCTTTGATCTTGTTTGGGTACTGTTAGAAACTTATTCACAAACTTCTGTTGTAGTCAGATGATTATAAGTGTCCTGTAGTCTATTTACAGGCATCCAGCTTTAAGATTTTTGCTTAAAGAAACTGTAACTTTTCTATGTAGATCTATTGTGTTTGTTCTATTCTGATGCTTTCTGCAGTTATCAGTCTGAATATGCAGTGGGTTTTGATGCTTTATCATGTCCAAGAGATTTTATGTGCTTTGATACTGTACCCAAAGCTAATATGGAACTTTACTGGTACCCAAAGTATGTTTAACTCAAATTTGAGTGTAAAGCAAGCTTGATGGGTCATTGGGGAAGAGGAGTGTGTGTACAAGAGGAGGGAATATGTAAACCTGAAACATGTTTCAGATTTCCACACTAGTATGAAACTCAAGGAAATGGATTAACTGAATTGATCCAATGTATTACTGCTAAATATAAAAGATGTACGGATTAATTGAAATAAACATCCCCATTTCTGTATGACTGTAAAGTGTTTGACACAGTATCTTTAAAACCTTAGAATTTTTAAATTATTATTTCTGAGTAGGCAGAGAATTATCTGAGCAGAACTGTTCAGTGTTACACTAATTTCACTGTATTTTTATTTTGGAATACACTGTAATGTGATATTTTATTAACAATAAATCTATGCTACATGTTAGCATAGGATGTTGGGCGAAACATATTAGGGATCTAAGAAAGTTGCCTTAAGTGTGGTTTCCTGTGTACCATCAAAAAATTTCGTTGAACCGTTAGTTATTGCATCTGAGTATTGCAAAGTAATGGATTCTATAAACCCAGACAAGTAACAGTTTCTTAAGTGTGGAATATAAATATTTAATTTCAAAAGCATAGTTTATATTTGTTGTCATCCGTACGGCCTGATTGATAAGTACCGTATTTGCTGGCGCACAAGGCAACCGGCCGTATAAGATGACCCCCCCAACAGGAGGAGGAGGAAGAGGGGAAACGGGCGGCCAGCGGGCGGGTGAGACACAAGCAACTAGTGATTGTGCAGAATGGGTGGTTATTTACCCCATCTTGAAATCACATGTTTGTTCCAACATCTGAATTGACAAAATGGGATATACCACATTTGCCGACGCACAAAGTGACCGGCCGTATAAGACGACCCCCCCAAAGGAGGAGGAGGAAGAGGGGAAACGGGCAGGTGGGGGGGCGAGTGCACGGCTGGCTCAGCGGCGCGGGGCAGCCCACCGGTGGTTCAGGCATGGCAGTGAGAGGGCGAGGAAGAGCGGAAGAGGCTGAGTGGGCGGTGGCAGGAGGAGGAGGAAGGGGAAAAGGAAAATGGGCAGGCGAGCGAGCACGCGGCTGGCTCAGTGGCGCAGGGCGGCGGGCTCTGGCCGCTCAGGCATGTCAGGCTGTGCTTCCCTCCATCCAGACCGACTGCCTGCCCGCCTGCCTTCCTCCCCGGCCAGCGCGGCCCTGCGTCATTCAGTGCACCCGGCGTACAAGACGACCCCCCCACTTGGAGGCATGTTTTTTGGGCCCAAAAAGTCGTCTTGTACGCCAGCAAATACGGTAGTATGATTTTTATGTAGAAGAGCAGGGTTCAAATCTTAGCATGATTTTGCAAACTAGTCTTCAGCTTTAGTTCTAATTAACTCCAGCTTTTTATAGACATGGTAGCATACTTTGTAGAGAGACCAGGAACGATCAAGACTTTGTTATTCTTAAAGTAGATCCACTGAAATTATGCGAGTTTGCTACATGCAAATTGCCCCATTTATTTTACTGGACCTGCTTTAAGTGTGGATACAGTCCTTTATGGGTATAAATAAAACTAAGGCTGTTGGCAAAATTAAAGGAGAAAAAGTGGAGTGGCAGGAACAGGTCAACAAATTGTGGCATTTTGCATGAAATCCATATTTTATGTCTTGTTAATGGTCAGCATTCTAAAGTATTATTCAAATTTTCAGGTGGGATGTTCTTAGCAACTGGCAGTACTGACCATGTTATCAGAATGTATTATTTTGGTTCTGAAACACCAGAAAAAATCGCAGAACTGGAAAACCATGCTGTGAGTAATATAATGTTAAACTTAGAAGCAGTTAGCTTGGTTAATTAGAACAAGATTTTATCATGGATTAAATGTTGTTTCAAAATCTGACAGAAAAGAACAAAGGGCTCTAGCATATTATTATGAAGACCATCCTACTGCCTTTCTTCCATTTCTTTGTTATTGAAGTGCAATTGAATTACAGTGGAGAACATTCAGTGGAGAACATGAGAACATTCAGTAGACCTTTTACTAAATTCAGTGTGATAAGAACAGATGTACTTCTAATAATGTTAATAATTATTTTAACTTAAGAGTTCTGATCTGCCTGTGTCCATGAAATATTTCCAGGATAGTTTTTCTGCAAAAGTGATTTTAAATAGCTCATTAAAAGCAAATGTAAATTCTAGAGCTGTAAGAACTATCTCCAAAAGTTGTCAGTGTTCTGTCTTTCTGAAGCACTAAATTTATGTTCCTTAAATTATATTATACTATTTTACCAATATTGCAGCTTCTTACGTATATTTTTTGGAGTTCTATTTTATAAAGAACACATAATAAAGACTATTCTTTATGCTTTTACAATTTAGTAGAAAAAACACTTAAGACATTATGGAGACTTGTAAAATTATGAATTGTGCAGAAATATCGATACAGGGCATTTTTGTTCCCCTGTTACAATATTCAGTCATACACTGAACCTGTGAAACTGATTGGTAGAAAAACTTTGGACAGGCAAAAGAGTAGTTCAGAAGATTGCAACAGCTGCTGATTTAAATGGTTTTAAAGAGGTTTGGATAAATGTATGCAGATCAGTCTGTTGGTGTCTTCGAGTAATGATGGCTGTATCAAGTGTGTAGGCTCAGAGAACCAGGTGTTGAGGAACAAAGTCAAAGGAGATTATTGGCCTCATACCCTGACAGTTGACTTTTCCATCTTGTTGGCTGTTGTTAGAAATAAGAAGTTAGCAAAAAAGCACATCTAGTTTGAGTAAGCTAAGCTCCTATGTACATACAGTGGTGCCTCGCTAGACGATTGCCTTGCAGGACGAAAAACCCGCAAGACGATTGGTTTTTGCAATCACTATGGTGCCTCGCAAGACGGTTTTTACTATGACTGTTCTTCGCAAGACTTTTTTTGAGACCGATGCATAGGGAACATCTGAAGACGATTTTTTCACAAGACTACGATTTTCGCGGAACAAATTAAAATCGTTTTGTGAGGCGCCACTGTATTTCTCAATATCTAGAGAACAGTCAGTTTGGGAATGATGTTTACTATTGTGAATTTTTTCCACATCTTTAGAAGAATTATCTTTTTCTGCCTAAGGTGAAATTAAACTGATTTAAGCATTTAAGAGGCATTGTTTGAGTTCTGTTTTAACAGGTTTTTTCTCTCTTGTAGGATAAAGTTGATAGCATTCAGTTTTCTAATAATGATAACAGGTATGTTTTTGTAAAGCTAGATGAAGAGCAGTATCATGGGATGCTGTAGCTAGATATAAAGCTACTTATATAATACAGAGCAAAGCAATTTAGACCAATACTGCACAGAATTCACTTACCAGTTGGCTTATAATCGACACTTACTGTATATTAAGTGGTATTTTTATTCTACTCCTTTGCTTAGTAAAAAAAAAATCTTACAACCACCTGTATCGTTTCTAAATTCCGTTAATGTTCACCAGTTTGAAGGTTCCTCTATTCCATCACAACTAGGCCCAAGATGTTATAGTATCATTTTCTGGGAAAGCTTATATTTCAAGACTTTAAACAGCCTTATGGCTGCCTTTTGCTTGGTTAGTATATGCCTTTAACTCCCAGTAAAAATCCAGTATTTTTTTTTCTTACCATTTGCATTGTAAGACAACTATTTTGGGAATAAAGAGAAGCATAGCTTCAATTTTGGCATGCAAGATGTATTTCCAGTTATTGGCAGAGGGTGCTGCTTTATTCTTTACTCATTAGCAGCTGTGACGAAATACATGTAATACAAAGAAGTGCTCCAAGAAATCCAAATAGTTATGCATGTACATTTAGTATGTACATTCATCAAGGAAATACACATCACCTTTAAAAGGAAGCATAGAATGTTTCAGTATTTGATCAAATGAACAATATGCTGTATATGCAGAATTAGGTTGAAGCCTCATCAGAGATGTTAGAATAGGGTATTGCTAGGAGAAGAATTGAGAAAGGGAGAGTTAATCCCTAGTTTATATATCAAAAACAGCAAAGATGGAAACCACCTTTGCATCAATCCATCCTCTGCAATTATGTAGGAACCATTTCTCCATTTATAATTAAATGCAAGCAGAGCCCCCACTGATGGGATTCTACTGTTGTTGAATTGGGGGTTAAAATCAGACGAACAGGGTCTTTTTATGACTGGACAACATAGATGTGAGTTGCACATTCCATATGTTGAAGAGAGATCCTCCTCTGATATGTGAGAGTACCACTTCCAATCTCATGAAATGGAAAGGAGAAATTATGTGGATCAGGAAGAATATCTGTAATTTAATAGGAGAGGAAGTGTAATTGAGTATATTTTCTTGTATTGAAACATTGGTTGTGGATCTCTAGTCTGGAATGTGGGGTCCTCACTAGTATTCAGGCTTCTGGATTTTATACCACAAAACTGATTCTCCTTCATGCCTATACCCTGTTTCTCTGAAAACAAGACCTTACCTGAAAATAAGCCCTACTATGATTTTTTAGGATGCTCGTAATATAAGGCCTACCCCCAAAATAAACCCTAGTTAAGTGAAAATCTGCCCTCCACCATTGTGCAGCAATCAGAAGAAGATGATATGACTGTATTTGAATAAACAGATTGTACATGAAAAAAACAAAGCATCCCCTGAAAATAAGCCCTAATGTGTTTTTTGGAGCAAAAATTAATACAGTGGAACCTGTGCTTACGAACGATCCAACTTACGAACAGTTCCATTCGCAAAATATTGCTTCTATTTGCGAACGGAGCTTCAAGATACGAACAAAAAAACCATGGGGGAGGCGGGGAAAGCGTGAAATTTGAACTTTCAGTTGACCATTGGCCAGCGAAGAGGCTGTTTGTCTGCAACATCGCTCGTCCAAGTGGTTAGACGAGTCTTCAGACTGCCTGGTACTATACTGTACGGACTTTTTTTGGCTTTTTATTTTTGGCTTTTTGACTTTTTTTAAAAACAGAGACTGCCTTTTCTGGGTGAGTACATACACTGTACAGTGTTTACTGTACTGTCCATATTAAATTCTTGCATTCTGTGGCTTCTAGGGTTTGTATGCTGTGACCTCTCTGTTATTTTAAAGTGTGTGGGTTTAAAATGTGACTCCAAAGTCTTTTTTTTCTTTGGGGATCTGTTTGCTGTAATAATGGTTGCTGGCTGTTGATGCAGGCAGGCTGCAAAATGGTTTAGACTCTCTTTTTGTGATGAGGAGTTCTGTGCTGGAATTATGCTTGCTGGATTCTGTGGCTTCTAGGGTTTATGTACTGCGACTTGTCTTTTGTTTTAAAATGTGTGTTTAAAATGTGGCTCCAAGGTCTATCTCTTTCAAAATCAGAAAACTGTGGTGCTTGTTGATGGAGGCAGGCTGGCTTTAAAATTGAGTTTAAAATGGAGTTTTAAAATGGAGTCTACTGTAGACTGAAGGCTCTCCCCCCCTTGTCTTCTTTCTCTCTCTCTTCTCTCTTTTTGTGCTTAACAGTACAAAACCTTTGTCTGAGGGGTCCATGTGCCCCAGTGATGACCTTCTTTCTTTCCTCTTTTCCCCATTGTTCCTTCCCTCCGTCCCCCCTCCCTCCTTTCCTGCCCTCTTTTAAGCTAAAAGGTGCTTGGCTTGGCTTGGCTTTGTTTAAAAGCTGCTTGTTTTTAAAGGTGTTCTGTTTAGAAGGTGTTCCCTCTCCCTCCCTCCTTTCCTGCCCTTTTTTTTTTTTTACCTAAATTCATCTTAGGTCAAAAGAAGAAAAATTCTCCCCCTAGTGGTAGAGGACGGATTAACCGGCTTTGCATTAGTTCCTATGGGAACCAATGTTTCTACTTGCGAACGGCGCCTCTAGATAAGAACGAAAAACAGCTGGAATGGATTAAATGGTTTGCAGTGCATTCCTGTGGGAAATGTTGCTTCTACTTAAAAACGTTTCAACTAATGAACATTTTCTGGGACAGATTAAGTTTGTAAATAGAGGTTCCACTGTATACAGTAAGACCCTGTCTTATTTTCGGGGAAACATGGTAGGAAATGTTCTTGAATATAGCTGACCAATCTTTGAAGGATGCTGTGATTCAGTCATACCAGTTTTTGTGTATGCAGTGTTTATGAAACTTAATGTTTGCTTTTGTATGTCACATGGTGTCTTTTAAACTTATACCAAGGTTCATAAGTGGTAGCAGAGATGGAACAGCCCGAATCTGGCGATTTCAGCAAGCTGAGTGGAAGAGCATTTTGTTAGACATGGCTGACAAATTACCAGGGTAGGTGTAATGTATCCTATTTGTTAATTTATTTACATATGCCAGTAGGTTGTTCGGAAGGTACCTTTCTGTTCTAGAATAATCTTCTCAGTACTAAGGTCAAATGAAAGATCCCTTTATTGAAGTTTGTGCATAGTTGTATAGGAGCGTTAAAATTTTTGTCACTAGAAAATAGTAATGGCTCCTCATGTTTAGCCACTAGTAGAAACATGTTTAATTGAATATTCTATAAAGAGCTCTTACAGTCTTTCAGTAGTCTTGAAATGCTCACTTTGGTCATTTTTTTATATTTCTGTAAGGATAGCTCTAGGGTTCATTTGTTTTTGACCAATGAGTTAATGAACTTTTAGTTCTTATTTTCATTTTTTGTACAAATTAACATTTTAAATGATGCTTTGAAGTATTAACATGGTTCTTTTGAATTGTGATAGTGATTCCTGTTCAGAAGAAGACAAGTTTATGAAGCCCAAAGTAACTATGATAGCCTGGAGTCAAAATGATAAATTGGTGGTAACTGCTGTAAACAATCACCTGCTCAAAGTGTGGAATTCCTATACTGGGCAGCTGCTTCATCATCTCACGGTATGTAACGATTACTATATTATTTTAAAAAAAGTGTTCTTCAGAAAATAATACACCAATTGTTGCAGAATCCTGTACTGGTTCCAGTAGATTCAGTTAAAGTCTTTCTTTTTTGTTTGGAAAAGCATAAAGAAACACAATTACACAAGTATGTTCATTTGAGAAAAAATAGTCAAGAATATAAAGCCATGGGAGTTTATGGAAACAATGTCATTGTCTTGTTCAGTTCAACTTTTTTCTCATCTGGTAAATCTGGATGAGAACAAAGGAAATATTATGAGCAATAACGCTGAAGAATAAATTCTATATAATGGATTGGAAATCTCCCAGCCAGTTCATCTAAAAGAAAAATTTGCAAACTCTTATGCTGGTGTATGACAATATAAAAATTTGCAGTAAGACTCCAGCATTAGTAACATCTGTTGCAGAGGGAGGGGAATAAAGCGATTTTATTCTTTCATGATAGACTTATAAAAAGGCTTGTAGTTTCTTGGGAAAAGTTATAGGAAAATAAATTGAATGATTGGGAATCCCATGCTAGTAAACCTCTAAAATTGTCAGGGTATTTTAAGAACTGAGTATTTGAAATGGACAACAACAAAAATTTGGTAACCCATCAAGTGCAGACTAGATGATAGTGCTCCATTAAAGGAATGAATTACCAGGGTATGATACACAAACATTATGGTAAAACTAACAATATGTACATTTAGATTAAAATAGAAAAGTGTATGTTTTTTACCATTTATAATGCTTTTTGTTATATACATGGTGTAACATATAAGGCTATTTGGTAATTCTAGAATCATTTAGAACAGGGGTCATCAAGCCCTGGTTCACGGCTCGGTGCTGGTCCGTGGGCTTGCTGGAACTGGGCCATGGATACGGATCTCCGCCCCTGCCCACATGTGTGGTGGGTGTGTCACGCCCGTGGTGGGTGTGTTGCGCTTGCGTGGTGAGCACGCATGCTCCCACCCCTGCGCACGGCACTCGCTCCCCCCAACCGGTCCACGGCCTCAAAAAGGTTGGGGACTGCTGATTTAGAATGTTCCATTCGCTGCCCCTTCCCTCTTTCACCTACTTTTAAGTATGTTTTTTAGTTGTTATATGCCATCAAGTCATTTCTGACTTATGATGACCCTTTGAATGAGTGATCTCTGAAATCTTGTCACTAACAGCCCAGAATTGTGGTGGAGAAAGTGTCGTCATAAAGGAACGTTATAGAACATATGTGGTTAGTTTGCCAAAAAGTAGAAGTATTCTGGTATGAAGTAATTAATTGGCTAGAAAAAAATAACAAATCAAAAAATAGTTCCAAACGAAACATTATTATTCTCATTATTTACTGGAAGAAATGAAAATTGATCAGATTGGCAGTACAGAATGAAATTGCCTAGTGCTGGAAAGATGCTCAGGACCTTAGTTTGAAAAGATATAGAAATAAAATATGGACAGTGGCGCTAATGGAGAAATTGACTAATCTGGTCAGATTACACAGAGGGGAGATTTTAAAAGATAATTTTATGAAGATAGGCACCCCGTATAGAAAGTGAGATTGAGTCAAAAAAAAAAAAAAGAGTAAACCAAGTGGTTGGACTGTTAGTTATTCTAAGTAGCATTAGCTAGACATAAAAATACAATAATGAGCAAAGGAAGAGACTAGGTGAAAAGATAAAGAGATAATGTAAACAGTGTTTGTATATGAAAGTATAAGAAAATTATTATTGTAATAAGTAGGTATTGTTTTATTACTCTGTTTTGAATGGATAGATAATAAAATGTATAAGAGTTAAAATAATTAAATAAATAAAAATTAACAACCCTGTTCAATTTCTGCAAACTCACTCAAGATCATTGCTTCCTTCATGGCATCCAGTCCCTCTTGTATTTGCTCTTCCTTTTTTCCTGCTGCCTTCAACTTTTCCTAACACTAGAGCACATCTTGTTGATAGGAGTAGGACAGTCTCAGTTTTGCCTGACCACGCAGTGTGTGTTGGAATGGAACAATGGGAACAAATACAGAAAATTAACTCGCAATCAGTCGGTTATTGATAGTTGAGTATATTTAGGATGTTATTTATTTATTTAGTTAATTATTTAGTACTTATTATTGGGGCCAGAGTCCTGTTGGTTATTTATAATGGTGTGAATTGCAGAGATGAATTGCTGCTGGTTAAAAAAGTTGTTGTTTGTATCCCTGTTCACATGCCAGTTGTGTGACTTGATGCTTGGTGAGGGATACAGACAGCATCTCGTTAACTAGTAGCAATTTGCCACTGCAGTTTACATTGTTGTAGTTATACTTATGTAACTAATCAAAGGGATTCTGAGTGTGTGTGTATTTCTGTGTAGTCTGGTCTGCATGATCTATTTTGTATACTTTGAAAAGCCAGTTACTCTGGAAGGATGGTTTTAATGATATTGCACAATATTTCTATTTTACATTTAAAGTCCTGCTTTTTATCTTTTTTCAAAAGGGACATGCAGATGAAGTGTTTGTTTTGGAACCCCACCCCTATGATTCTAGGATTATGTTATCTGCAGGCCATGACGGCAGTATCTTTATCTGGGATATAGCAAAAGGCATTCAAGTGAAACATTACTTTAACATGGTAAGTGTTTATTTACAAACTATTTTTCTTTTGTTATTTCCTCCATTGTTACACCCCCCACCCATTTACTCAGTTAACTGTGATCGTATAAGGGGTGATGTCTTACCCCCTTTAAAACATTGGGGTTTAAAATCCATTAAATACTTGTCATTTGGTGTAAAAACATTTTAAATACCATTTCAAGTTGCAGATTGGAATAAGAATCAAGTGTTAACTGTTAGAAAACATATTTCTGATACAGGAGTCAGGAATTCTGCTTCTTCTTCGAGTGGTCCTCTGAATCCACACAAATGGGTTTTACTGTGCCTTCGCAGAACTCCTTGGAATATTCTAGAGCTTAAAAGGACATTAGTAGGGTGTTGCCCTGTGGCGCGCATGCTCCACCCGCCCATGTTACCTTAGTTACCATGGACTTCCTTTAACTTAGACCTTGTGAATTTGATCCTTTTTGTCTATTAATGGTATACTGATCTTTGGACTGTTTACAGTTATGCTTCTGGATTACAGACTCAATCAAGTTTTTCATTTACGGATGTTCCCTGTGAGTTATTTTTCTTTGTTCTTTCCCTTTTTTCCCTTTCTTCCCTTCCCGGCCTTTTTTAATGGCCTCCTCAAGCCCCTTGAAGCGTTGCGCGATGTGTGCTAGTAAAATGCCCTTTTCTGATGGCCATGATCACTGCTTGTTTGGGTGAGAGTCATCATTTCAGAATTGTCTGGACTGTAGGAAATTAACTAAACTGGCCATAAAACTACAGCTTCAATGGCTGAGATCCCATTTGTAGGAGAAATCTTTAGCACCGTCCAGTCTACTGACCAGCCCTACAATGGAACTCACACCAGTTCTACCGACTCGATCCGAGTCTTCCATTCCAGTGGCTCCTATACTCTCACCAAGGGCTTCTTCTAAGGCTCCAAAACCAAAGTTGCCATTGGTATCGACGTTGACATTGATGTCGAAGGCCTCTTCAGTCTCAGCTAAGACGAAATCTAGTAAGAAACAAAAGGATAAAGACTCTAAACCACATCAGCCCCGTGAACCTCCAATTGGCCACATCTCCCTCCCATCTCCAGTTCTGGAGGAGTTGTTGAGGGACGTTGCAGACCAAGGTTCTGTCTTCTGAAGCAGGAGAGTCAAGCCTCCCTGCTCAAGCTCAAGCTTCGGTGTCAATCCAAGCTTGTCGCCAAGTCACGGCCGTTCAGCGGCGGATATCCTATTCAGCCTGGCCTCGGCCCAGTCCAGCCCTGTTTCGACCGGGCAGGCGACTGTTATGCATCTGTCCAACTCAGAGACATCAGTCACAATCTCCTCCTCGAAAGAGGACAGCAGAAAGGCGTCATGTCTCTCCACCGCCTCAGTACCGGGAAGTGCGTTTTGTCCAATGCCCATCTTGACGTCATACCCTTCCTGAGTATGAAGAGCCCTTTTACAATGTCAATTGGTATGGTGATCGCTACCAATCCCAATCCCACCAATATGACCTGAGGTTTATTACTGAATATTATGAGCATCACAAATGGGTTTGGTATGCTTATCCTCCTTCCAAATCCTCTCAATCAGCATCACCGCCTCCTGTTCGAAGTTGGCATTCAACCACTTTCGAGCCCACCCCTATAGAACCAAGATATAGGAAATCTTCTAATGATCGCTCCACTATTGCCGGAACTCCACGTTGACATAAGACCACTCAAACTGACACTGCTTCATCCAAACATCAATCCACAGTATCATCTCCAACCTCATGAAAGCTATTGCACCATCTGGGACCCATTCAGACTGTCAACTTCCAACCTCAAACCCTCTGGCTTCTGCTTCTCAGGATCGTCAATGCTGCCTCTCCCCAGCTTTTTCCATCTCAGGTGCATCTTCGGCATTGACGGCCTCTGATCAGGTTTCCTCCTCTGAGTCATCCAAGGAATCCCTGTCTAATTTACCAATCCCAGATTCTGATGCTGCGGATATTCATCCTCCATCCCCATCAGAGGATTTCACTTCTTATGTTCAGCTGATCTTGCACATGGCCAAATCATTGGAATTGGATATTGAATAGCAATCTCCCCCTAAGCCTGATCTTGTCTTTGATGACATTAATCAAGAGAAATCCTCACCATTAAGTTTAATGTTTATCCCAGCGATGTTGGATCTTGTCAAAGAATCTTGGGATAAGCCATTGACATCCTTAAAAAGTTCGAGACAGGTGGAAAATCATTACCCTACTCATAGGAGCAATACAGCATTCCTAATTAAGCATCCTTCACCAAACTCTATTATTGTACAGACAAATCAGTCCAGAGCAGGCAATGAATCTTCAGTTACTCATATTAATAAAGAGGGTAGGAAACTGGGCGTGCTCAAGCGTCGTTTATATTCTTTGGCATCCTTCGTTATGAGAGAGTCTAATTACCAGGCTGCGATGGGAGCCTACTACAGGCAACTGTGGAATAAGATCCTCCCTATCTTGCAAGCTGCTCCTGAGGAGGTCAGAACCAGTACTCTCAATATTCATCTTGAGGCCACAACTTTAGCCAAGTAGCAACATCTGGCAGCACATCATTCAGCTGATGCTGCTTCAAAATCTCTAGCTTTTGCTATCTCCCTTAAACAGCATGCATGGTTACGGTCTTCAGGAATCAACAATGATGCTAGGTCCGGTATTGAGGATTTACCTTTCGACAGCGTAGGCCTCTTCAACGAAAAAAACCAACAAACTTGCACAAAATTCGTAAGACGGCCTGATTTTATGCCATTCAGCAACCCAGGTACCAGCGCATTCAGTGGCACAAGCCGTTCACATTTCACCAATCTTACAAACCACTTACCACCATTAAAAACCTCTGAATCAGGCTCCTGAGAGATCCAACTTTGCTCAAACATCCTCCACTGCTCCTCCTTTCTGCTCCCAGGTCCCTGCTCAGTGCAGAAAAGATTTCTGTCAAACTACAAGGAAAAACAAACAGTACCTTTGACTCTCCTCTATTGAACTATCCCCAACATCCCTGACTGGCACCCTTTTTCGACGAGTGGCCCACGATCACCAGGAACACTTGGGTGCTAGCCATCATATATTTCGGTTACCTGTTAGAATTCAAGGAGCTTCCTCCTCTTGGTCATGTCAGACCCACAATGTACTCACCTGCTCTAGAGGACGAGGTTACACTGCTTCTTCAAAAGTGTGCTATCCTGAGAGTACCTCCCTAAAATGTTCTGAATGGCTTCTTCTCGGTCCCCCAAAAAGAAGGAGGTCTCCATCCCATTTTAGACCTGCGACTGCTAAACACCTACATCCATCCAAGGCGTTTCCGCATGGTCACCCTTGAATCAGTCATCCCTCTGCTTCAGCCAGGCAATTGGTTCATGGTTATAGATCTACAGGACACTTATTTCCGCATTTCATTTCACGAAAAGCTTTTCAAATACTTTCGCTTCCTCTTCATGGACACTGCTTACCAATTCTGTGCCCTTCCCTTTGGCCTGTCTACCCTCCTAGGACCTTCACAAAATTTATGGCTCCAGTCTCTGCCTTTCTTCACCTACACAACACCACAGTGTTCCCATATATAGATGATTGGTTGATAGTAGCAGGATCACACAGCGCAGCCATAATAGATACTACCTTTGTTCTACAGACATTGGCGGATCTCGACCTTCAGGTCAATTACAAAAAATCTCGTCTGGAACCATCTCAGACCACAGATTATGTTGGGACACATCTCGATTCTATTGTAGCCAGGCTATTTACCCCTCCAGAAAGAATAATCAAATTAAGGTGGGCAGCACAGTCATCACTCACCATACGCAGCACCTGCTAGGCCTGATGGTGTCAGCTAAATTGGTTCTTCAACGTGCGAGATTGAAGATGAGGTCCTTACAGACATGGTACCTATCCCAGTTTGACCCTCTGATAGACCATCCTTCCAAGCGTCTTCTGATGACTCCGGAGTTAGCTTGCCAACTTACCTGGTGGACCTCTGTCCCTCATCTCCTGGTAGGTCGCCCATTCTGGCCTCTTCAGCTCACTCTGCGGGTCACAACAGATGCCAGTCAGATAGGATGGGGTGCACATTATGGTCATTGAAAGATCCATGCTTTATGGTCAAGCTCAGAGAGACTGCTACACCTCAATCAACTAGAGCTGCTAGCAGTCATCAAATCGTTTCGAGATTTCCAGTTCCTCATAGCTGGTAGCGCGGTCCAAGACATCATGGAAAATATGACCACCATGTATTATATCAACAAGCAGGGTGGTCACCCATTCTTCTATATCTAGCAATTCAGCTGTAGGAATGGTGTTACGATCACCATGTCTTTCCAGTGGCTCTTCATAGTAGCTACAGAAGACAACGAGGTTTCCAACCATCTGAGCCACTTTACAACCCAGACTCATGAGTGGACTCCCAACAACACCGTTTTCTCCCTTCTCTGCAGTCGGAGGGGGAACGCTAGGTCTCGACGTCTTCGCCACTCAAACCAACACCAAGTGCAGCAGATACTGCTTGCGAGCAGGAAGGGGAGACAACTCTCTAGGCCTGTGGTTCTTAACCTTGGGTTACTCAGGTGTTTTTGAACTGCA